TTTATATATAAATTTAATTCTTATAAGGGTATAGTTGATTTTAATTTTGAAATTATTTTAATTTTTATTATTTTTCATTTTAATTTATGTATAAAATAAATTAGCTATAAATGTTTAAAATGTGTAATCAATTCATTTGGAATGTTCAGAATTGTGTGAAATCAAGTCAAGGTAATTAAAACTTCAAAAACTGTGTGAAGTCAAATAAATAAAATAAAATAAAATAAAATAAAAGTTGTGTAAATTAAATGAACAAGATTTTAGTTGTTAAAAATGTGTAACATTAATTAAATTGAAAACTTTTAAAATTATATAAAAATAAAATAACCAATAAAAGGATAAATTGGGCATATCTTTTTTTATAATTTGGGACAATATTATGCATATAAACTTAAATTTCCGTGTTTGAGATTGCTTTATAAAAATAATTTATTGACTTATTACGGTGTGACACATGTAATAAACACTTTTGAGTGTTTGGATAAACAGCTTATACCGATGTCAAACTGGTAATAAGAAGTTTTTGAAGAAGTTAAACCATTCTAACTTATAATAAACTGATAAGAACTTTTGTAGAAAAACATAAGTTGTTTCAAATAAGCAAATCCCAAACACCTAAGTAGAATCAAAATATACACCATCTATATCATTATGTTTATATACCTTTAGTGAGTAAGTTTGTCGGTAAATCCATTGGAAATGATATTGTTGGTAATCCGTCAGCAATATCCGTTGGTGATGCCTTTTCCCACGATGTATTTTTTGACAACTTTACCGACGGATCCCACATTTAGCGACGGAATACCAATGGTTTTGTCTGTAAGTGATACTTCTTTGTAAATATTATGTATAAATTTAATTATTGTAAATATATAACTATAAAAAGTTAGCCATGCCTAGTTTCAAAGATATTGATATGGAAAAGATTTGAGTTTAATTCCTACTTCTGAAAATCCCTTAGCAGCGGGGTTGCTATCAATCAGTCGCGACAAAGTATCATACTTCTTACATGTATCACATTCAGTTAATTTTCTTAATATATATATTCACAGTTACTAAACATATATAAGAATGAGTTATATAGAGATGTTGAATAGATTGAAAATATGTGTGTATGAAGAGCGTACGTGATAGTATAATTGTCTAGTGTATATATTAATACAAATTCAACATTCATATTAAATTCAATAAATAAAAGGATATCAGGTTTATCGAGTTGGGTTGACTTCAAATAATAGTAACCCAATATTAATTCAATACTTACAGTTTGAAAAAATTACAACTCGATTAGACATCGAGTTGCTTCAGAGTTTTTAAGGACCCCATCCTCGTCATATAAATTTAATTATTTTAAATATATAATTATAATTAATTTATTATATTTAATCATATAATTTTATTAAGAGTATCTCATCAATACTTTCAATAACACCCTCTTATTTTCTTTATTTCTATATTACATCTTTATTATATTTTGTGTATAAATTTAATTCTTATAAATGTATAGTTGATTTCAATATTGAACATTATTTTTATTTTTATTATTTTTTATTTTAATTTATGTATAAAATAAAATGTTTAAAATGTGTAATCAATTTATTTGAAATGTTAAAATTGTGTAAAATTAATTCAACATAACAATTCAAAAATTGTGTATAGTCAAATCAAGATAATTAAAATAGTAAAAATTCAAAAATTGTGTAACGTCAAATTAACAAAAATAGAAATACAAATTTTCGTCAGTGATGCCTTTCACACGATGTATTTTTCAACGGCTTTACCGACGGATCCTACATTTAGCGACAAATTGTCTATCGGTGATACTCCTTTGTTTTGTACTGTTTACCTTCTTTTTAGTGATTATATTATACCCTCATTCTTAGCAGCGGAGCTGCTATCAACCAGCCGCGACAAATTATCATATTTCTGGTTGAGATCCATTCCCTCCATTTCCTATATCAGATTGATGAATCCCGTCTACCTTAAAGAACAGAGGAGAACCTGGCATTGGATTTTGGAAAAAGTGAGTCGGTCAAGATCAAATCTGTTTATCAAAGTGGGTGGCTACTGGCTCAAGTTGCTAGTTGGTTTAGTACTGCATTGAAAGACGGTAGCTGCTTCTTCACTCTTCAAGTAGTTGAATCTTCTGTTCAAGTCAGAAATAAGAAACTGTAAAACTAAATAAACAAAAAAATATATGAATAAATGTACAGCTATAAATGATTGAAAAGACCCAACGCTGTCGTTGTGCCAGAAGAAGAAGGGTCGGCGGTGGAAGCTTATCCTTATTTGGATAACCAAGTAACTGACGGTGGTTCGTTCGCAAAGGAACAACTCACCCAGCCATGATGCATGACAGAAGAGGTCCGTTCGAGCAACTACCAACACTGTTGTGGAAATGAAGTAGTGTCGGAGCTTGGTTGATTCAATGATTCCGATAGGACGTGCAGGACATTGAGGAATACCTAGAAAGGGCATTTCGAGAAGCTATCAAAGTCGGGAGCCAAAGACGTTGAGGATCGATTCTTTATTTCCCAAATGATGTATATGAAAACCGTCTAATTGAAAAGAAAAAGTAATAAAATTTAAAATACATATAAAAATCTATCAAAGATATATGTAATATAAAAATAAAGAAGAAAAGGGTGTAACTAATTATGTTTAAAAAGTTGAGTGGTTGAAGTTGTAAAAGATATTTAACCTTTTGAGATTAACACCAGGGGTGCTTAAAAACCCGACCAATCCGATCAACTTAACCTAACCCGATGCGAAATAGCTCAACTCGAAACAACCTGATGTCTAATCGAGTTGTAGAATGTACAAAGGGTAAATTAGTAAATTATGTTAATTATATTAGTTTGATATTCCAATTTACTTTAATTAGTTTAATTATTTTAATATATGTATACACACACACACACACACGGATGCACATGGACCAAATCTGGTGGCCTTCTCTGGCACCCACCACCACTCTGGTGACCTCTAGTTATCTTGTCTGACCAAGGCACCATCTCCGATGATCAACCAATCCACTAGCCTTATTTTTGTCCCTGTGACCCCCTCACTACCTATCTCTCTTCCCCCATCTCCGGCACAGTTGATATCACAATGGTCTCAAAGTTTAGTTGGTGTGTTTTGGGTATCATATTGTATATATTTTGGGTATCACATTATGTATCTTGGTGTATTTTGGGTATCATATGGTGTTCGTCGGAGACCAGAGGTAGGAGAGAGAGATAAAAAATTTAAAATACTTAAAATGCCCTTTAATTATAATTTTAAGTCAAAGTACCAAAAATATTAATTTCCTAATTTATTCATTGATTTGTGGTTGAGATTGTATCTCACAATTATTACAAACTAATCAGTTCTTTCTTGAACAC